TGATTACCTTGAAAGTTTTATAGAGTCAGAAAAGTTTGAGGCTAGATTAAGGTAGGTGCAGAGACAACACCAATTTAAAAAGAAAGAGGCCTTGTTAATTCCATGGAAAACAAAAAGTTATGAAGAAAGGAAGTACAGCCACAGTGCACTACGCAGCTAGCCTGTGACGTGCTGTGCAAAAAGCAGTCACGTAAATACGAAATACTTTAAAAACCATCATTTGTGATATATTTAGCTATACTGAGAGTATGGGGAAGAGAAAAAAGAGATGACGTGTGTGGAGGGGGTTGAGTTTGTGAAAAGTAGTATGAGTGAGCTAAATCCTCATCTTCTGCAGAATCAGAAAATTGAAATGTTGAGAAATAGTTTATGGAAATAAATAAGACAGAAGTTCATGAACTGGAGTGATCACCTCAGGGGAGCAGAAATAAGGAAAGAAGGAGACGAAGCTGCACTTTCTCATCATGAGCCTCACAGGACTATTTGACTTTCTGAGCTACGTCATGTTTTATTTGGATAAAATAAACTGTACATTTTAAGAAAACTAAGCAAAGGGATGCTAAGTTTTTGAAGTTAAGAAAAAGGTACCTTCGAAGAGATTTCCATGATGACTGTTAATACTGGAGCTCTGTTCTTTCTGAGTAGATTTTTACGGCCAAAAAGCTTATGATAATATACTTTACATGATACGCAACCCATGTTGGTAAAATAAAATTGGAAGGGGAAAACATTCTTTAAAACACAAGCACACTTCTACTCATTCTGATACACACGGCCACACGCAGTGAACAAGCGTGTAAAGTATTAAAGTATAGAGTACCATGGTCATCCATGATTTATCTAGTCCTATGAATGCAACCACTAAAAATTCACATCCTATTTGGGAAACTATTCGCTTTCCCCACGTAAGTCATTCTTGGGCTCTAGGTATCCCTATAACCATCCTTGACCACCAAGCGCACGTTTGCTTTGGCTCGTTCCTCTCATAGTTGCTTCATTGTGTTCTTTTTGTTTGTCAGACAGAGACTGAGTTTGCCTTCTCCACAATCTCGTTGTTGTTTCACTGGTTCAAGATAACCACCTCCTATCAAAGGATTCTTTTTTAGACTTGTCTTTCCAGTTCTTCCGTTTGCTCTCAAAAGCAGCTCTGTGTTATTTGTGCTAATGCTCTTTCCATTGGAGCTGAGAATCCGCTGTAGACATATTTTTGGCCTGAACTTTGATAATCGCCATGTTTAATGATTTATTCAACATCCTTATGTTTAAGACACCATGTTAGGTACTCTGCAAAAAAAAAAGTGTGTGTGTGTGTGTGTGTGTGTTCACTGCATAGAATTCACATCATTTTTAGTAAGCACGTGTTCTTAATACCATCTAGTTAAAGAGAGAGAGGAGAGAGAGAGAGAGAGAGAGAGAGAATCTTGTCCTTGAGAAACAACGAAATTAGGAAAAGATATACTAGCTTGACATGACCAAAGTAAGTTTAGTTATTTCATCACAGAAACATGTATTTTAAAAATCAGAAAGCAATCTAGGTCCAATATATGATAAACAGAAGTTCCAGAAAGTAAACAAGAGAAAAGAGAAAGAAGTGATCGAAGAAGTCGCACAAGAACATAACCGAGAGAAGGTCGGAAGCTTGTGGGAGAAGTTCGACTGACGCTTTCGTTGTCACTATTTGAGCTCAAGTTTTATTGGAATTAAGAGAAGAGGAGGAGGAGTGAAAAAGGATAAGAGAGTGAGCGTGCGGAGAAGGGTTCTGGAACGATCTTCTAAAGCAGGGATTCACAACTAATACTACATATAAATGAAAAGGAAATAATGCTATCACCTCAATCCGACCTAAGTACCTTTAAGACTCATGTTCCAGCAAACTGGATAAATAAGAATTTTCTTTTAAGGAATTGCCAAAGTATAAACTTTCTTAAAATAGGGGATTTCCTTTCCTTAAAAAGTATTTTTCCTGATGGTAGAATTAACATACAGGTGTGATAGAAAATTTAGAAAATTCAGTAAAGTATAGAGAGGAAAACAATAATCACTCGTAATTTTATCAAGCAGATATACCATTCCTAATATTTTAGTTATGCATATTTTTCTATATGTGTTAAAAAAACACAATCTAGATTATAACACACAAGCTGTTGTATGACCTGCTTATTTCACTCATCCTATGTGCATTTCCATGCGATAAATCACTAAATATCATGATTTTCATGTACGTTATTTTTCCAAAATACTTGTTTAGGTTCCAATTTTTCACTATCATAAGTAACGCTATGAACATAATCTTTGTATATAAATCTTTGTTTAATTCTTTAATTATAAGAAATACTACATAAATTCTGAGAAGTAAAATTTCTAGATAAAACATATTCAAAATTTTGAAATAAGTTTTTTTTTTGTTTCTTTCTATGTTTAGTCCCCTTTTTTGAAATAGCCAGGAACTAAGTGAATTTCTATTCATTTCTGAGAGAAATGGCATTTTATGCAAATATCCCAAATAAGAAAATATCTGTGTACAATAATTATCTTGAAATAAATGTTCTAGTGTCATTGATGCTGGTGCTCAAGTCATTCATTAAAACTAAGTGTTGATCACGGCCCTCGTGACCAGCAAAGAATAAGGTGAATTTTCACTAGCAACAGCAGAAAACAAATTTGAGCTACACCAATGCATAATTATGTTTCCTGTCTCGCCTGTAACTTGTGCACGTATTTGTGCGAGGTACTCACATATAGTGTAATTAACTCTTCTGAGAGCTATGTAAATACTGCTCCACAATCAGGTAAAAGCATGAAATAAATGGTATGTTTGCAGAAAGATATTCACATGTTTATATATGTGTTTCGAAGCTTGTTTCAAACAGTGGGAAGTTAATATTTCATTAAAAAGCATGCTTTTGCTCGATGGTTCTTAATGGTGAGGACGTCATAATTCTCATGAGGCCTCAAGAAGGAGGAGTCTGTCCACCTGAAAGTACCTTGTGAGATGGAAAGGACAGACCAGACACCCACAAGTTTAGTCCAGAAAACCATCCCTTTTCGTTTCTTCACCTGAGTCCTTTCAAAACATGACCTCTGCAGCCCCAGGCTTCGGTTACTCATAGGTGCGCACAAGGACCTGAAATCAGTCCCTTTAAGATTCGCGTTTCAGCAGAGACAAGAACTGCATCCCAAGTTAGCAAATTCAAAAAGGCATTTAGTGAGGGTGGGGAGCGAGGATGGATTCACGTCGCACCCACATGTCCGCAGAGCCTGCGAGTTGGAATTAATCATCTTTGGTCTGGCTCAGAGGAAATTCTCTACTGCAGCTGGCGTGAAAACGGCAAATGTAGAAGTACAATTTGTATTAAGATTAACAACAGACCATTCGGATGGCTTGCGATCTCATAAAGCTCGAACACATCTGGGCTACAACAAACACCTCTGTACATTGCCTATATTTTTGCCTGCTTCAGAACTTAATATCGAAGGGTATAAAATGTTCTATTTTTCCAATGGTATATATTTTTTAATGAAACCAAGAGAAAACATAGAAGTTCACATTGCAGTGATGTTTTTCTACCAGCTACTGATTGCAGTTGATGTAAACCAAGCTATATTTTTATCTCTCCAGACAGAATTTTTTTAGAGCTAGTCGGCATGTGCAGACAAGAAACCACTGTGAGGTTTTGGGGCTGGAAGGCTGTGAAGGACAAGCATCAAGCCACAGAGCTCAGGCCTGTCTCTGCAGGCCAGCACCACCTCCAGCTCTGCAGCCTCCGTCAAGTTCAGGAGGCTTGGGTAGATGTGGGGGGGGCGGGGCACACAACAGGAGATACAAGATGCAAACAGCCTCCCTAGTGATGCAAGATCTGCTCGCATTACTTCCCAGTGCTTCTGATGCATCCAATTGTAGACGCATATTAGACACATATCCAAGCACTAGTTAGAACCCATTTGCACATGCGGGCCCTTAAAGCAAAGACTCTTCTACAAAATCTCCAACTACAATGCAAATGTCAACACCTCCCACAGGACTCGGGAACAAAATAGAAATTGGCAGTAAAGAGATGGCTCGTGAACTCACCCATGTGTGAAGAAGGTCAGTAGAACCGATGCATTTCCCCACTCCCCCTTTCATTCAAGGTAGAGAAAGAGTTAAATTAAAAGAGCTTTGGCTGCTTGCCACCCTGGTCAGGACAAGGAGAGTAAATGCTTGTCGGTGAGTATTCACTATCCAATCGGTTGCCACTCATTTTTACCATGGATCACTGAGAGCCCTACACCCCTGAACCGAGAAGTCGTGACGTGGGAAAGAGGAGACTTTACTTTGAGACAGCACTAAGATATACTCCCCATCGAATTTCCCTGAATTAGACCCGAATACATGGGAGAGGCTTTACTGCACTCCCAAGCCACGAGGTTGAAACAGCTTCTAATTGCGTTAGTTCAGCAACAAACCTTTAAACGTTGAGTGGTCCCACAAAAATCTATCCTCCAGTTCACTTTAAAAATACAGGGCACTCTCCCACATTTGAACATCGAGAATCCAAATTTCCGTGATTCATAATTCAGTAAGATATAGGCGAAGGTTGTTCAGAGCCTTAAAAAACCTATAGGGATACCAAAGCGTCTGGCCTTCCCACCACCCCAGTCTAAGGCTGAATTCAAGAGCTCTGGGTTTGGCCCTGTGACCTCTACAGCACGGCCTCCCTCCTGTGAGAACTTCGTGTAATTTATCGTTTCTTATCTGCTTGTTGGGAATAAAAGAAGTTTGATTCCTGGGGGATCGAATACAGGAAAGTTAATTGTGTTATCCTTTTCCATCTCTTAGAAGAAAGGAGAGAGAGAGGAAAAAAAAGATAACTCGAACATGGCGACACGTGAGGATGCGTAGGAAGGCTTTCCGCAGGTAAGCGCACCCCGCGAGCTCTCAAGCATGGAGAGCATCACACGCTGACGGTCTGACGCGCACCACCAGAACGACGCACAGTGGGGCTCGCTTTCACACTTACCTGCCCGTGGGACGGAAGGGCCGCGTACGCCAGGGGCTGGTGCATCGCCCCTTTCTGCTTCATGAGAAGCATGCGTTTCTGGTCCTCACTCAGGTGTGCCCTGGGAGCCTGGAGCTGTGGCGGCGGCTGCTGCTGTGGCTGTGGCTGCGGCTGCTGTGGCTGCTGCTGCTGCTGCTGGATGTACGGCATCAAGGGGTTTTTGTTGGGGTTGGCCATGGGTGGCGTCATTCTCTGACTCAAGTCTGCATTGAAATGGGTCAGAGGCTTAGTGTTGCCATAAGTGAGAATATTGTGCTGTTTGTTTAAGGAGTTTGTACCCAAGTTATTTGGCTGCTGATTGATCATGTTCATGTGATTCTGAGGGAGGTAGTTATTCATTGTCGTCTTCTGCAGGTTGTTTGCCATTGGAGGCACTATAGGGTTTTGGTTGTTAAAGGCTTGGGGGTACATCATGGGGCTATTTGGTTTTTCTGCAGTGAAAGCTGCGCCATATGGACTGGATGGTGGCCCTAAAGGAGACCAACTGGAAGTCTGATTCGCGTGTTGCTGCTGCTGCTGCTTCTGCTGCATGAGTTTCGCCCTTTGCTGCTGCTGTGCAGCCATCTGTTTTAGCTGCTCCGCTGGGGACATGTCGGAGCTGGGCATAGTCACGGGGCCCGACCCTGAACCAGCCACTGTCACTGCTGCCGGATTGAGGAGGTAACCATTTCCGGGCCGAGGTGGAGCTTGGCCTGGAGTGTGGGCTTGGTTTGGAGTTTGCGGGGACTGGACAGCACAGTTTGCTGGTGAGCTGGCGGGGTTTGGAGCGGCGGGCGTGCTGGCAACGGAGGGTAAACTAGTGGCCGTGGAGATGGCAGAAAAGGGAGGACCGGAGGAAGAAGGCCGCGCCTGGGGAGACCCCATGGAGACGTGTGCAAAAGGAGAGTGAGAGGGGTCGCTCTTCACGCTCACACTCTCCTGGGAGAGCGGGGTCTCGGTCGCCGGCTGCGAGAATTCTGACTCCTTCTTCTCTTCAAAGTCCTCATTGAACAGGTCCTGGATGTCATCTTCAGGAACCGTGTTGGCCAGCTCGTCTATTAATTCTTGCCACTCCTGGTCGTTTAAGTTAATGTCCGAGAATAGCTTGTTCTGATTTGAAAGAGACGTTTCTGATGTGTCTATGCAAGTGGGGTCATCTAGAGGTTCCTGCTTGAGGTCCTTGCTCTGCAAGATGGTGAAGCTGTCCTCCAGGTCACTGCACCCGTTGACAGGAAGTTTAATCTCGGGGAGCCTACCATTCTTACTTAGATCTTCCAGAAGTCCGGGAGGGTGAGTGCCGCTATTCTGCAAGGGCAAAGAAGGCTTCAGGTCAAGTTGGTGAAGAGGAGAAGCGGAAGGTAGTGGCATGTTGCTGATGGCTTCCATCCCTGTGGCAATGTCCTTTCGTATTCGCTTGCTAGTTGGAGAAAAACTCCCATCGCAAGCACCATTCTGCTGGTCTCCATTAAGAGGTGATCGGGCTCCTTCCAACTTCCTTTTCACAGTCTCTTGGAGCTGGAAAAGAAACGAGAAAGAGGATGACTAAATCTCGAGCTGAGAAGTTTACTCTTTAAGCAGAGCGATAGGCATCGCTATCGACTCACTTTTAAATGGTTTACGACACACAGTAAAGGGGCTATACTTCTCATTTCAAAGTTGGCCAGGCTTCGGTTCAAATCCTATGAGGAAAGGTTTTATCCAAAAGCAGAGCTCACGAAGCTAAGAGAAAGAAAACAACCCAAAAATCGGACAGTGGGGAACAAGGGAAGAGAGACCATTAAAGGCAGAACTTCTCTCATACAGAAGAATCGTCTATTATCATTTTCCAAATGAACGCTAAATGTGAAACTTGGACCCAAATGTGTCATATGCAAGAAAGATGTTAATACTTATCTTAGATTCTTATCACATCTTAATTGAGAACATCAAGGAATTAAGTCAACAATATTTTAAAGAACACTAAAAATCCTCTGAGAATACAGAATTTAATACACGTACTAAAAGCGTAGAAATGAAGACTGGTGGTTAACGTAACCCAAAACTTCCTTTCGGTTCTTGTTTTACTTGACCTCCCACCACCTCGTGACACAGTAGCCCACTCTGTTCTAAAAGCACGTCTTCTGCGACAACATAGATGGACCTCGAGATAATCACGCTAAGCGAAATAAGCCAGACAGAAAAAGTTAAAAACCACATGACATCACTTATATGTGGGATATAAACCTAAAAGCAACAAATGAACAAGACAGACAGAGACTCATGGACATGGGCAACAGATATGTGGTTACCAAAGGGTAGGGGGAGGGGGGAGGGGGGAGGTAAAAGGGTCAAATATGCGGCGACAGAAAGAAATCTAACTAGGGGAGGTGAACACGCAATGTATGTATATATACACACGCATACACACACCTTACTGTTAAATTGTACACCTGAAACTTACTGGATTTCGTTAACCAATGTCGCCAATAAACAAATAAATAAATAACTAATAAATAACAATGAAAATGACAACAACAATAAATAAAAGCACATCTTCGCTGGTTTCCAGGCTATCACACACCCCCGGATTTCTTCCTTTCTCTCTGTCCGCTCTTTCTCAGTCTCTTACGGATTCTTCCTTCCTTCCTTCTCCTAAACGACGGGATTCTTCATTGTTTGGTCTTAAGCTTATCATTACTATTTTTCGCCCCCTCTACATGGTGCCGGGATGACTTCGCCCATCCCAGCAGCTTCGACTCTCTTCTCTTGGCCGATGTCGCCATGACGACGTACCCCGCCCAGGCTTCTCTGCCGAGCTCCACGAACTCACTGCTCAATTCCTGGATGGTTCACGGGCATCTAAAACTCAGTGTGTCTCAACCCTGGGCTGATAATCTTTTGTCGCTCAAACGTGATCCTCACTCATGTTCTTAGCTCAGTATCTACCCTGTTACCCTGTCCTTAAAACATCTCTCATCATCAATCACCAGGTCCCATGGCTTCTGCATCCAAAATATCACTGTAACATGCCCACTCAGCTCCAACCTCACTGCTACTACCCTAGGCCGCGACGCCATGATCTCTTGCTGGTTTGCTGCAACAGCCTCCTTCTCTCGCCTCGAACACTATCCATTCACTCTTTCGTCTATTCCTTGATTCATTGTTTTGCTCTCCACCCACCTATTCGCTATACTGCCACCTCTTTCAAAAAACATTGCCCTTCCTGGTTGTAACCCTGCAAATGATTTCCACTGTCTCTAGATTAAAACCCAAACCAAGCCTCCTTCACCTGGCTCTTGCTCATTACGCGAGGCTCATCGTCTGGCCTCTCGGCTTGGCGTCACCTGCCCATCCCTTGCCGAACATTTTCTATCCACTGTCCTGAAACTCTTCCAGTTTCTTAAATGGGCCAAGCCTCCTTCTGCCTGCAGGACTTTGTAAATACTGTTTTTTTCTTGGAACTTACTCCCCCAAACCCTCTCTCCTTTGCCAGATGAATAGCTACCCAACTCAATTTGTATCTTAGATTTCGTTGCCTCTAGAAAATCTTCTCTTACGTCCCTTCCTCACCCCAACTCCATCAGGCACCTTCTTCGACCCACCTAGACTGGTTGGATATCCTGGAATACATTTTTCCAAGCAACCTCTACTTCCCCACCGTAGCTTCTACCATACTTTGGGGCAATTGCTAAGTGTCTGTTTAATGAGCTCCAAGAAGGTTGGGGCTGCCATTACCTATTAACCACGAACTTGAATCCTAGGTATATCCATGGGACTGCGTGTAGTATTCAAGTTCAAGTTCATCGTCATGGTTAATAGATAATGACAACCTGAATGAATTAATCTATTGTGTAATTCATAGGGGCTAAACGAGGTGAGTTTGAGTCGGAGCAGGAGGCAGCCCCACTGACCATAAGGACGCCTGACTTTGAGAGTCTACATTCCCGATTCCTGGTCATGGAACCTCCTACTCTGGAGAGTGTGGCGTCCACTTAACTGGACTCGTTTAAGAAGTCCGGTTAAGGAAAGTCTTGCTAACTGTACGAATTTATAAACCGTAAACCTAATTCGTCTGTCTGTCCCCTTCCTTTCTGCCAGGAAGGGTCAGTGTGTGAGACGCCGACGAAGGAGCTCAGCAGAGAATAAGTACCGGCAAAACGCTCGCTGAAAGACAAAGAGAAGCCTAGCTTGGGTGGGAAGGGGTTTTAGTAACTTCGCAGAGTGGAAGGCAGAAGACAGAATGACATGGGGAC